AGAATGACTAACTAAATAAGTTACCCTTGGATTCAACAATGTCTATAATTCAGATTTTAGGTCTTATCTTCCAGACACACATCTTCCCTTTAAACAGTAATTAACATTTATTGAGGTGCATCTGGATCTTAAATCAGAGAAAGTTATTTGTTGCACAGCTGGTTCAGGATTTTTATTAATCGGATCTTCAAAATCATTGTAATCACTGTGCATGTGATGTGTCCACAAATAATTTCATGCTGCAAAGTAAAAGTGTTGGCCCATCTCTGGATCAGCTACGTTGGAAAATACTGGCACAGCATTGTGAAAAGGGCCCTGAAAAATGCAGAAATGACGTAGATGTCAAGCAGATTAAACTGAGCAATTGCTGTTCTCAGAAAGGTAAATCAGAAAACAAACAGAGGATCAGTGGAGGACTGAGCAGTGACCATGCTCCTCAATCAAAGTTCAAAAGTAAACTAGCTCATAATGACAGACTTCAAAACCACTTGGTTGTGTGCAGTCTGGAGCAACACTGGTCCTGAATTAACAAAAACACCAGAGTCCTTCTGCAAACAATGTGACTCTATTAATGACAAATTAAGAGGGTAGAACAAAAGCTGGGGTTTGTTTTCCAATACCACTGCCTTGCCTCAATGCTAGCTTTGCAACCACATATTGCCAGCAAATCAATTTGTTAATTGTGCAGTGGCCTGTTGTCCCCACTGTGGAAATTATGGCCCCTACGCATCTCACACGCCAGCATTCGGGACAGCCTGCCTCCTTGAAAAATACATCTTATTGTGCTGTTCTTGCAATGGCAATGCATACAATAGAATTTCTGAATTATGCAGCTGTATTTTGAACATCCCCATGGAACATTGAGACGTGACCCATAAGCAAGCACATCCCCAGAGATAACAAAAAAGCAGTATTCCTAGTTGTTCTTTAATGCTTTCTGCTAATATTTTATTAATAACTTAATCAGTCCCGACTTCAGAATAGCACAGTACAATGAACTGCAACCGTATTAATGTTAGAATATTATCTTTCAATTTTCAGATGTTTCATTTTACACATCAGCACAGATGTTACTGTACCTGTAACACTGCACATCATTTGCTAATTTTGTTTTTAAATTTGTCAGGGGTTAAAATGACAAAGAAAGCATTTCAGCCCATTTGTGACTAAAAAAACCCATAACTGTCCAAATCCCTTGAGACGGTTAAGTATGAAAAATTAGAGATAATAACACCTAACTAAACATTTCTGATTTAGACCGAAGGAATTCAGAAAATAACAAAAGAGTTAATGGGGTAAAGAAATTAAAAAGGCACACAGAGGGGAAAGAAAGGTTCTCGTCGTACTCACCAGCCCGAGCTGCTATGAGGTGCGTTGTGCGGTTGGGGTCTTTGGGGTTCAGAACAAGATTTCTGCTGATGTTCGCCCCCAAGGCCTTGGCGTGGTAGTACTCCCGCGTCCTCTCCATGGGGTAGTTGGTGGGATACAAGCCACTGAACACAATGTTGGTTTCTGCCAGGCTTTTGCTTTTTAGCTCGGGGACAATTTTCCGGATGTCGGGCGTGTCGGGGCACTCGCCCTTCAAGAAGCGCTCGTACTGGGCATAGTACTCCGTGTGGATGCGGGCCAGGACCTCTTCCAGGTAAATCAGGTGGTCATCCTGATCCAGGTCCGTCTCTTCCTCCTCCTCTTCCTCCTCCATGCTCTGATCCAAGGACTCCTCCCCCATGGTCACGCCCGACTGCTCGCTGTTCTGCGATTCCGTCTCCGCCTCCTTCTTCTCCGGACAGCCGTTGCCGAGCTCCCCTAGGCTATCCGGCTCCTGGCTCAGCCGGATTCCGGCAAGAGGATCCTCCCCGGAGTGATTCTCCCCAGAGGCCTTGACCTCGTCGGTTCCCATCGGCTCCGCGGCCCCGGATTCCTTGTCTTTCCTCCAGCTGCGCTTCTCCTCCTCCTCCTCGCTGTCCGAAGAGGAGGGGTTGCCGGCACCGGAGTCGCTAGCGCTGTCGCTGGAGAGGTCAAAGTCCAGGTCGTTGCCCGGCCCGCCGGTCCCTTTCGTCGTGGGCTTCGGGCTGCCTACCCTGCCGCCGTCTTGCTCGCTCCGGCCCCTGGCACTCTTCGAGTCGCCCACCCGCAAGCCGTCCGGCGCCGCCGCCGCGGACGTCTCCTCCTCCCCGCCCGGGTGTGTCCGGTCGCTCGCGCAGTCCTGCGGCGCGGTGGCCTCGCACTTGGAGGGCGGCTCCTCCTCGGCGGGGGCCCGCTTGTTGCCGTGGCGATCCCGGCCGCGCTTCCTGAGCCCGTTGCTCTGCTCCTCTGCCGACAGCTCCTTCGCTGCCGGCGCGGCCTGCTCCGCGTTCTCCGCCGGTGGGCTCACGTGGTTGGCTCCTGGCAAAGAAAACACAAGGCACATGGCCAGTTACGTAACGGCAAACTTAGGTTTATTTTCCACCATATGTGACTTGCAAAAGGGACAAAACTCCAAATGGCTTGCACAACAAAGTGGTGTTTTGACAAAAAACTAAAATTTACAACACTCTTCCATTAATATGCTGATATCTATGCACTAATGAACTTTTCAACTCCTTCATAACATTGCCAGTTCTAAAATTACCTGCCAATAGGACTGATTCCTTTTACATTTCTCTTTCCTTGACAACTAACCAGAGTTTTTTTTAGTGTCTTATAAAACTGAAGTGTCATTAATTTCATGCTATACTTTACTAACTTTTCTCTGTGGCTGGGGAGCGGACCATTTGTCTCCACTTGTTTCGCCACCATTTGCTCCATGTGTGAACACGCCCTAATTGAACAATCATCAGAATTCAATCCTGCAACGCCGCCAAATATTGAACGGGTCTTGGCAAGATAGCGTGCCTGTTGACTGCAACTGTTAATTGGCTGTTGGTGCTGTGCACAGCAAAGAACATCCAACTACTAATTTCGCATGGAAATAAGGTGGGTGTATGCGAACTCACGAGACTGCAAGACCTGACCAACTGGCGACCCGAATCAAATGAATAACATCTTCCCCCTCCCTGTACGGTGAGTGGAGACCTACATAAACAACTCGCAACTCCAAACCCACAAATGCAAAAAACTGGCTTCACACCTGAAGAAGACCCCAGGGCCGAAACATTGTCTTTTCCTTCTTCTCTTTTCAGCATGGAATAAACCTATTACTTGTCGCTTTACTTTAGTTGTGCTAGATAAAATATGCAACACGGATGATTTCAGGTTCTCCCCAAACAACTGAAGACATCCGAATGGCCCATTGGACTTCGAGACCAAATTGAACTGAGACTAAATAGCCTGTATCTGTGCTATACGGTGCTGATGGGAAACCATTTACCCAACAGGAGTTCAATATAATCAGTTCCTCTAATGAGCAACCAGACACAAACACTCCCCTACTCCAACCTCCCCTCCAGCTAATTAGTCCCTGAACACCAATTTTTCACCATAGGTATTGCTTCTTCCTCCACAGAGCTGAAATACTTATCTCCCCATCATTACCCCACAAAAACAACACAGAAAGATGTTTTCTGAGTGCAAGCCACCAGAAAAGCAGTGGCCCCAGACACTTGCATCTTAACTCACATTTAAGTTCTTAGAAAACTTGAAGTTCCTAAAACATAGATTTATCTGATATTTTATCAAGCAATTCCATTCAACATTACTGCCCTATAGAAACAGCAAGGTCTTTTCTATTAGCACACAATGGAGATCCTATAATAAGCTATGCCACCTTTACAGTGACCGATATTCCCAGTGGGCTTGCTCTGTCCCTCTGAAAATCAAGCAATTTAATGAACCTCAGTGATGTTTGCTAGGCTACTGTTGCACCAACACAAGGGGTGTGTGTTTCAAGGAATTTCCATTCGCTTTTTACAAAGTACAAACATGCAGAATGTAAACGTTTTAGGGTCATCTCCTCACACAGCCATTCCTGTGGGTCACAGCACATTGCTTTAACTACATTACTTTACTTTTCAAACACTGAGAAAGCCAAATTCTAATCATGTGATATTAAAATATTCTATTTTAACTTTTTGTAGCTTTTTTAAGATTTAATATACTAGCTAATAAATATTGCAATACTTCTGCCTTTTTTCTGTCAGCTCAGGGATTACTTAAAGAAAGAACTGTTGGGATATATTACATATTGTCTAGTCAAGTACTGCTCATTAAAAACGGAAAGTGACAAAAGAGAGGAGAGTTTTTAGCCCATCTAGCCCATGTCGTTGCTAGTAGCTCATAGATTTAATGATTGAATCCAGCGGTTTCTTTAAGGAGGCCTGGGCATCTAGTTTGATGAAGCCCACGTCTTTTCTCTCATTAAAGTATTGTAACCGAGATCTCATGGTCAAAAAACTGCCATTATGAGACATTCTGAATGCAAAACATTCAGCAAAAACATTACTGACACTCGAGCACTTGCTAATTACAGTCTACAGGTGGTTGTTTTCTCTTAGAATAAATATACAACCCAGGAAAATTACCAAGAACAACTACTAGCAAATATTTAAGATTATTTTGTAAGCAAAAGTACAGATGAAGCTTCTACTACAACAGATACACATCTTCCATTCACATCACAGTGATCTACACTTCTGGGAAAAGCAACCTATATGATTCCTGAGCAAATCAGTGTGGATAAATCTTGAGGAGAGCTTTACGTAAGATTATATAAAATCAGGGTCTGTAAGATAAGGTAGAAATACCATCTCTCAACTATCACAGGTGAGACTTCAGGTGTCTTGCCTGCTAGCTTGAAGATGCATTCTTTATT